GCAACCTTTTTGAAAAGCGAAATATTTGACGGAGCCATAAACACATTTCCAAAAAAAAAATCCTCAAGCCAGGTCCCTCCCTTTTATGGCGATAGTCTTTTTCTTTTTTTTATTATTATGACTATTATTTTCTTCGCGGAGCACCCACAAAGGCTTTGCGGAGCCTCAGGGCTCCTCGGAGCACACTTTGAGTAACACTGCTCTAGACCATCGCGACGTTTTAGGTTCGTTCTCAAATCTTCAAATACGCAAAATTGAGACAATATAAGTAAAACTTATCTTTATATAAATCACGGTTGTATATGGACAATAATTTAAAGCTGAAATAGATTCACTTTATACAACAATCAAGTCGAAAACTCAATTTAAATAAATTCATCAGTACCTATTAAACGTTAAAATACAGTAATTTCAATAATGCAGAATATACTGACAATTTTAATATGCCATTGATGATTTATTTTGATTTTAATAGATTTATATTCGACGTAGAGCTTTAACCTGTGCCCCATAAATGATTAATGATTAACTCAACAACTATAAATTTCGTGTACGCGACACATATTACAGTGATTTCAGATTAAATGGATCATCATTTTTCTTATTTGATTAGTAGTTCGATGGACTTAATAAATAAAGGATTAACGATTTAGGTTGTACAATCGGGTAATCTATTTTTAATTAACTAAGTAGCAACTTTTTGTATAATATGTACGGTGGATGACAATTTGTAGGTTTTTCAACTTTTCAAAATTTGTTCGTATGCAAGTACTACCGGTTTCTAAAGAATAGGGCAGTCTAGAAATGCTATCATTACCAACTATAAAAAAACGCTTAAAAAGCATATATACACATTTTTTTCCAAACACTGACACTGATATTGAAAAAAAACCAAAGAAAAATTTAAATGAGTGCATCGGCCAGGGATAGATCCTGGAAACTTCCAATTAGAGGAGGTGGCGTCTCTACCAATTGGACCACCGAAGCACTCTAGCGTCTACGTCCAACCTGTAACAATGCATTAGGTTATTTCCGAGTGTATCCGAGATTCCAGCGAAATATCTCGCGATTTTTTAGTTAACATACAATCATAAATATTTGGGAAATAAAATGGATGATTTGTTGGATAGGGGGATATAAGCAAGTAATTAAATATTTAGATCTAGGTGATAGATGAGAAAAAGTAGATAGAAATAATATGTAATCATTATAGATTGTTTGATTTACTATTTCTGTATTACACCAAAAAGCAAACCGGACCTCCCGTGAAAGCAAAAATGTTTTAAGGATTTTCTAATATAAAATTGTATTTATATGCGCTACTGGGAATACTTTGTGATATTATGTGTCTTGGAAATATTCAGAGCTTTAAATTTGAGCAACGATAAGTCAGCACTACAGAGACGTTTAAGAAAAAAAAGTGGCAAATCTTCCCATTTAAAAACTACTAGATCTTTATTAAATCAAAAAGCAGCAAATTTTCATAGATTTAAAACAGATGATGCGTAAATGTTTTTTTTTATTTCTTTCAAAAAAATTCAAAATAAATACTTTTTGAAGGTTTACAAAAAAATCAAGGTTTCTCCGCCATAAGTTTTGTTATTGTTGGTATTTTCTGAAAATTGCACAATAATCGGACTAAAAGGCCCAGAAGAAATTATAGGTGTTTGGTTTGCTCTTAAGTGTATTTTAAATTTATTTAAGTATGACTTTTGTTGGAAGAAGTAGGAAAAAGTTTTAAATAAAAATCACTTTTTTTTTCAATATTTATACCGGATGGACTGAAAACAAAAATATTTTTTATTTTCAAAAAACAATAATTCAAGAAGTTGAATATCTTTTAGCTTTAGGGAAAAATAGTAATTTATACAACAAGAGTGTATATGAGTAATCCACTTGAGCTGTACGGCATATATTTTCTACGAACCACTAACGAAAATTTACAAATTTTAAAAATTATTTTAGGTTATTAAGACAAAATAACTAATTTTAAAGTACTTAATTTATGACTTTTACTGATTTATAAAATATGGACTATTTCATAAAATTACTTTGCAAATTTACGAGTGCAAAATATTTGTGTTTCATAAAATAACATCGTTAACTTTGCAGATTAATAATTTTTCATTTTCAACTTTTACTTTTTAATTCGACAAATTTCTCTTTTATAATACATGAATTTAAAAAAAAATATGCAAAGTGCAAAGTCAAAAATTACAAAATAGTTTTATGGAATAAGCCCCTGGTTTTATCCGAGGTTTTATCTCCATGGAGACTATTTTAGTTTTAATACTTGTAATTAAATTAGTTTGATTAGAACTTATGATTTATTTGTAAATATAGACGAAATAAAAATAGAAATGTTATTATTTATCAATTCTACATAAAAATAGCTCATTTTTACGTATATTTAAGCTCAATAACTAAAAAAATATACTGACAATTAGTTTTGACAAAATAATAGTAGCTGGGTGACCAAAATATGAACTGTGATTGGTGGATTTCATATTTTTGCCTTGTTCTAGGTAAAATGAATATGACATATATTCGTTCAATTGAACGCAATGATATATTTTTTCGTTTTGTAGTCTGTGTGTAGACAAGCTAATATCCATGTGGATGTAGCAAACAAATTTCATTTATATTGTAGTCTTCAACATAAAATAATATTTTATATTGTTCAACACATTTTTAGCTCTGCATAAAAATTCTTTGTAAACATATTTTATGTATCTTAAGAAATGTATCCTTTTAAGTAAACCCTCAGAATCCGGCGAACGAGAGGTAGCCATTGCACTGGTCTGCCATTTTTGTCATTATTTCACTAAAGCAAAGAGAAATTCAACGTTTGTTTGGGTTATTATTATTTTGAAACAAGCAAAACTTTTGTGAAGAATAATTTTTTTTTCTAAAGGGTGAATATAAACAAGTTTTCTCCCTTTTCAAGTCCATCCGGGAAGTTGGACAGCTATTGAATTTCTGACAGAAGGTGTGTAAAATTTGAGTTTAACTTTTTTAACTTTTTATGGGCTTTTTGGTTTAGTCTTTGTGTGTGTATTTTTTTATGACAGTTCTGTTTGTGGCAATATAGTTCGCACGTGAGTTTGGACTCAGCTGCATGGGTTCTGTAAGTTTTTGTACATTTCAAGTTCATTTATTGAATTTATAAGTTGAAAGCCTTTCTAAATCACTGTTTACATAATATGGTCTTTTTAAATCTTCCAGATTGTTTGTTGATAACTCTGGCTAGGTAAGAGTTTGGGTAATTTCATCGTTTATGATATACAATATTCAATAACAAAGTTCTATATTATACACTTACCAATACAACTAAATTTGTTATAATAATAATAATAATAATAATAATAATATGATATTTGAAATAAATATATTGATTTTCGTTAAATTATAGGATAGTTTCATTGAAAAAATTAATAATCTTGAAATAAGATTAGGCTGTTCTTGCTTTTTAATAGGGTTAATGAAATAGTCTTACATTTAGTCTTTATTTATATTCAATAATACCTTGTTCTTAAATCCAATACAACTAAATTTGTTACAATAATAATATGATCTTTGACATAAATATATTAATTTTGGTTAAATTATAGGATAGTTTCATGAAAGAAATTAATAATCTTAAAATAAGATCAGGCTGTCTTGCTTTTTAATAGGGTTCTCACTGATACCTATCCACCGAAAAACATTTTTCAAAATTGTTTTTAGTTAATATACCAAATTCCTCTCTCCTCTGAGGTGTCCCTCCTATAATTAAAAAAATTATTATTCAAAAACTAAATGAAACATAAATGAAACATAAAAGTATGTCCTACTAAGATAAGAGGTCGTATCTACAAAATGAATATTTTTAGTAAATGTGGGTAGGTAGATAAGTACGTCCTTCTAGACTTCGCAACTAAGTTTTGCATATTTTACTGACCTTTTCTTATAATTATAGTAAATATTTTCTAATGCAAATTTGCGTTTATTATTTTGTGATATAATAGAATGTAAGCTTATTAAACTTGTAAGAATCTTGAAATCAGAATTTTCGTAGATACGACCTCTTGTCTTAGCAAGGCAGAAGTCGTCTTTCCAAAAAGTCGTCACCCAGCATCATACATTTTTTTTACTTCTATTCCAGTTTGTTTCGTGTTCTTAATTTTGCTTGTACATAATAATACCTAACAAGAAGTGAACTAAATATACTTACATTTAATATTGGTACAGATCGCTGAGGCCCCATTCATTTAACAACTGTTCTATTTCAATTTAATTTATTCATACACTTATTAATTGAATCACAAAGAATTTATGATAAAAAGTAAAACGCAACCCTAACGATACGATGCCAACATGTTAGAAAATGGGATGAACACGTGCTAATCAGAATTTTCCAGATTCTCTATAAATGCGTTAGGTCTTTGACTTCCGAATAATAAGTATCAATTCTCAACATGTGCCAGTCATATATCTACCGTATCAGTGCAGTGGTTGCATTTTAAAATAAGTTTCAGCTGTCAACACCGTGCAGTGAATTTCTACTAGCTAATCCTCTATGAAGTACATAGGCTTTTGATTCGAATTGTTTAATTCTTGTTCTGAAATTTAAATGCTTTGAATCGAATCCTTTTATTGAATCAAGTACGCAATAATAAACGTAAGAGCGTTCTTGGATTAATTCACAATTCTATTCTCGAATGAAATAATTTATTCTCAGATTAATTATTATTAAAATACAAGATTATGCCTATACTTCACTCAACATTTATTTTCTTATTGTACCGAGAAATATTATTTGAAGCAAACTCTGCTTTATTTTAAACAAATGTAATCTTCCAAGTGTAACGCTAAGATTCGAATCGCGGACCCTTTGATTCGCAAGTCCACTGAGCCACTCATCTACTTTATGCGGATTTAGTATTTTTTTTTATCAGCATAGCTGGCGATTGTCAAAAAGTTATATAATTATTAGTAATCCGTTTTTTTTTTTATTTCAGTGACTGCATCAGGTCTATGGCAAGACCTGAGGATAACGAGGAACCCCTAGGCGACGACACAGACATGTGGAGCATGGATGCCGGTGGGGCGGACTGTGACTGTCCAGGGCCGCCCCCCGAATTTTTACTACCGCCGCCCCCCAGGCCGCCCTTACTACAACCCGCAGATCCCATGCATTGCACTGAGGATCCGCTACCTATCGAAACGTGTGACGCTCTACCGGTAAGTTTTTATAATTAAAATGTTTGGTAATGTCTACAAAGCATCTGACACACGTGTATTAGATATTTGCACATAAGAAACGAAATTAGAAATGTATAAATTTTAAACACAACAAACTACTGGAAATATTGTCTTCAAATTGTTTAAAAGTTGATCTTTAATGATCCTGAGGTTATAACATGTGGCCTTCCTCAGAGAACGGTACTTAGCTCATTATTATTTAACCTATATATAAATGATTTATTTGAACAACAAATGAAAGGTGCCTCGCATAGAGAAAATAATAGTATATGATAAGCCTTCTGAATTCAAAAATTCAAAACAATCAACTCCTATAATCTCTTAAAAAATAAAGTTAGTCTTTGAATTTTAAAATTACCAATTAACAAAATAAAACAATTTTAAAATTGAAATATTGCTTTATATACTCTGAAAATGTTCTAATAGTATATTCAAAAATTCGCCGGTATCTGTAAATATGTTTTATTATTTATTTATTACTCATATTATTTACTTATTAATTACAGTCCTTTTAACTTATATTAATTTAAAATAAAATGATTCAAACTTGTATAAAAAAAATATTACCTATTATTTACTATTTGAAATTAGATATTTAAATTATATACAAATATTTAAATATTATATATGTTTATACATAAAAATAAATGTACCTATTTAAGAAATGTATTTTAGTAAATAATAGTTATTTGTGTACCAAGGTGTAAAGTTGATCTTTTTCGACCGAATCAGAAATTTGCGGCCGAGGCGTAGCCGAGGCCAAGCTAGTTAGGCCAAAAAAGGCCATACGGTATACATTTTATAAGCGACTGTCTCATCAAGTAGAGTCAAAATTTTGTTTACATTCCTGATTATGAAAAGAGGATTAAATGCAAGAATTCTTTCAAATTTTTATTGATCAAATAAAATCCATCGTTTACTAATAAAATTTGTACAGAATTACTAACGAAAAGTACGATAAACCTGTGTTTATAAAAAGCGGCCGTAAAGTAAATGCGTCCAAAAAGGAAACACGTTAGACATATTAATAAATCCGTAAAATGTCATTTTAAAAAATTATTATTATTATTATTAAATTCAGACTGTAAAAATCCGCCCTCCTCTAGGGCCAAGGTTAATGCAAATAGTTTCTTAAGAAATTTAAGATTGTATGTAACGAATAGTATATTTCATGACAATGAAAAACCATAAAATAAAATTTGTGGAAGTTTTGTATAAAGCTGTTAACTATTCTAAAACTGGTAATTGCCGTACAATTCGCCCTTTTTATTTCGGGACTTTTACGGCCCTCATTATTGGCCGTAAATTAAATATTTCAAGAAAAACGTCAAAACCCTGACTCTCTCTCGCTTTAAAGTAATAATGGAGCCATTAATTTTTAATTGCCTCGGGAAATTGATATAATTTCATGAATGTTTTATGGTTTCGTAATGGGACCACTTTCTAAACTCAAATACGGATCGTTTGTTGTCTTCTGCATTCTTGAGAATTCTTGTTAATTCATACTTTTTACGTTAATAATATTCAACTAGGTTATTCGGAAATATACGGACAATTAAACTGGTTTATTATTAAAAAATATTGGATTTTTTTCAATTTTTTGGTTTGATAATTATTTTCAACTGAATTGTTTTTTATTTTAAAGAAATTGAAAAAAATATATATTTCATCTAATCCTACATGAATATACACTAAGAAAAAATTAGATAACATGTTTTTTCTACACTCATATGGATATTATTTATTCTAAGCACAAACTACAGAACGAAATGATAGGCCATTGAAATGAATACAATTTCATATCCATTCTAGTATAGATATGAAATCCAGCAATCACAGTCCATATTTGGTGACTATATTACTATTATTTTTTTAAGTTCGTTTTTTATATATAATTGACAATACTGTCAACCTAATTGTTAGTATATTTTTTAGTTATTGAGAATAAATATAATTTAAAATGAATAATTTCATTGAAGAATCGATAAATAATAGCATTCCACAAGATATTCGTTGATATTTAGAAATAAGTCGTAAATTTTAATAAATATCTAAAACTAATTTAATTATAAATATTAAAAATAAAAATGATCTCGTTAACGAAGAGGTAGAGTAATGAGCTGCCATGAGAGAGGTCCAAGATTCAAATGCAGCATGGAATACAAATTTAAATCTTTTTTAAAGTTTATTTTATTTTAATAAATTCTAAATTAATTTTTTAAAATTGTATATTTTTTGTTAGTAGGTGGTAGAAAAAATATACTTTATAGCTTGAGTTGAGTTAATTGTAAATAAATGTGGAATATGATTACATACCACAGAGAATGAAAGAAGAAACTTGTTATATAAGAGCTTTAAAAACAACTTTGTACTCTTTGTAAAAGAAAGTGAAAGAAAAGATATTCATAAAATAATAGAGGGCTGAAAAAAAAACAAAATAAACAATAAAAAAGTTATCTACCTTTTCTTTAAGTATTTTATGTAGTGTAGTAAAAAATAATTATTAAACTAAAAACAAAATTATAACAAAAGTCTAATGTAATCTGTTCCTGATATATTTAAATATATTTATTTTATAGAAATTTACAAAAAGACATTGAGTTGATTTCTCCTTGTGTTTTTTTAGTTTTACATGTGATTTATATCCTGTTTTACAATCTGAAACGAAGTAAATCTTGCTTTAATATTTTTTTGTTACTCATGTCACTTGTACTCAGGTATTGGTCAAGTATTACACCTAGGAATTTAATTTGAGAAACTTTTGTATCAAGGGGTAGTTACAATCATTTTTTTAGCACTTTTATATAAAAGTTATTAGGTTGGATAAAGGTGGTTAAACTAGAAGTAATACATTTTGTTTTCTATACATTTAGGGTTAGTATATTATTATTTAATCATAAACTTATCTTCCTCGTTTTTAGTAGTGAGTTTAACCTCTTCCAATTCTTTTCCAGTGAAAATAATTACTGTATTGGAGTTTACTTTATATATGAGTGAAATTGTTTATTTAAATTTAAAATACACCAATTAAACAACTTATTTGAAGGTAAATACTCATTACCCGAATATAGAAATGTGTGCAACAATTCCAACATTTACCAAATTTTCGACTGTTTTGCAAATATTAGTAAATAATTATGCATAATAATCGTACATTCCGGGCTGTAGATATTTTGAATAATTTGGCTTTTTGGGGTGCGGTCTAATCAACTCACTTGATATGTATGTAATCGCTAAATGCATACATAATAAAACCAACTACTAATCCATATTTATGCGAGTTATTAAACGAATTTTCGAACCGATAATTTTCAATTGCAACAATTCTGGCTAATTTAAATCAATTTTATATCTAATAATTTCGGTTCATTAATTTTGTAACGATGCACGATAATGAAAACTAATATTTTTAAACTGACGAATATAATAATTTATCCATATTAATATGTCCTTTTTTCTTATTGCAGACTTTTTGAAACACACTATATAATCCAAATATGAACATATAATAATAAAATAACTATTAACAGTGTTAACGGTCCTAATTAACAGTGCTGTTCCTAAAGTGGCGCTGCTGGGAAACAGTAACAAAGCCTACACAGAACACGAGGCTAATGGCCGTAGTAGTCGACGCCGATGACTCCAAATTAAAAAAAAAAAAAAAAAAAAAAAAAAAAAAAAAAAAAAAAAAAAAAAACAGTGTTAACCCCTCGGCTAATCCTAAATCAGCACTGTGAAACAGGCTATACCAAACACGAATATAATAATCAAAGCAGTTGACATCGATGAAAACATTACATTTTTGTAAGTTATCAAATATATTAAGTCTAACACCAAAAAGTTTTTACAACATTAATTAAGATAAAAATTTTCCACGGCACATTTTATTCGAAACATTTTTTCATATCTTCATTGCTATTGAAAATACTGAAAGAAATCTTGTACTTCTCCTCAAATTTCTCCATTACGGTCCATTTTATAGAAATCATGTATACAGGGTGTTTTTCAGACATGCTGCAAAAATTCAAGGGGTTGTTCCTTGGACAATTAATATTAATATTTTATTCTTTGATGACTTTTAAAATTCCGTTTCGATTAACAGATACAAGGGCGCACAACATTTTCGAGTAAACTATTTTTATTATTTTTAAAATTATTAATAATCTAAATAAAAATAGGTACTACACTGTGTTAACCAATAACATACAACTTTTTTAAAAATTCGTTATTTTTATTATTTTTTAACAACATTCCAATTACTAAAAACGGCTATTTTTGTCCACTTAAAACAGGCAAAAGTTCAGACATCGTAAAGAAATATAAATTAAATCTGGATTTCATATGAATTCGTCTAGTGATTGATCATTTGGTAGTTAAAATTTTGTTACTGACTATCATGAATCACTATACAAACGTCAAGATGACTGACATGCATTACATTTATGGTCTTGCTGATGGAAATTCATTAGAAGCTAGGAGGTTGTACATTGGACGATTTCCTGACCGTAATATTCCTGAAAGAAAATATTCATCAACGTCTTCATGACACAAGCTCATTGAGACAAAGTGGAGGGCCAGGAAGGTCAAATACAGTAAGAACGGTAGAAGTGGAAGAAAATGTGCTGGACATGATCGATGAAGATCCGAGTACTTCTACTCGAAAAATTGCAAATACTTAGAATGTGAGTTATTCGACTGTTTGGAAAATTCTTAGGGACAATTTATTAAACCCATACCACATACAACGCGTTCAGGCACTTCAATCTGCTGATTTTCCTCCACGTATTGCATTTTGTCAATAGCTTTTGCACACATTAATTCAAATTCCTCAACTTCTGACGCTTATTCTTTTTACCGATGAAGCGAATTTCTCAAGAAATGTAATAAGGAATTTTCACAATAACCATGTATGGCCTGACGAAAATCCACATGAGGTAATTGAAGATCGTTTTCAACATCAGTTCTTGTTGAATGTTTGG